CAAGAGAATAAAAAAGAAGATAGTAAAGAGTCTTATATAGTAGTGATAAGATTAGAAGAAGTTCTGAGAATGATTTAAAACTAAGATAAAGAAAGAGAGAGAGAAGAAGAGTATTACTATAAATAAATAATAATAAAAGAAGATTGAGAGAGTATTAAAGTAGAAGATAAAGAAGCTAAAACTGATAAGTTTTTTATTTATTAAAAGATAATAATTTTTAATAATACTTTTATTCTTTAATTGATTAGTAGAAGCTGATAGAGAAGAAGAGAATTGAGATCTTATTCAGATGTTAAATACACTTTATAATTCAGAATATTGAGAAGACAGCTCTACTCTCTGAGTATATTAATCTACTTACTACTGAAGAAGAACCTGAGACAGTAGATCAGAAAATGCAGGATTTTGAGACATAGATTAATCTAGCTAAGAGAGAGCAGTAAGAACTCTTCTCTGAGAAGATAGTGAAGAGAGATTTTAAGATAATTATTATCTCAGATAAGAAGAAGAAGAAGAAGAAGAATAAGAATAAGAAGTGAATTATAAAGAATAATAAGAAGAATGAGAAAGAGAAGAAAGATAATAAGTAGAAAAAGTTTTTTTCTTTTCTATATTAGTTAGTTATAGACTTGATAGCTGTTAAATAATAATTGAAATTAATTTTGAGTTTTCAAAAATTATTTTGTAAGTTGTAATCAATGTCAGAAATAATATATATATATATATTTAACTATCATGATTTATAAATCACTATAATGTATAAGTATCAACATTTTTTCAACATTAATATTCATAATATTAATATATTTTTAATGTTATCCGCCTTTGAGAGCCTCCCAGGCGGGAAATGGCCCTTCCCGATGCGGAAAACGGCCGTCCCTTCTGCGCTTGCGGTCCGCCGCGCCGACCCCAGCTAAATCACACCTGTCTATATAAACCCGCATCTCTTGCCGTTCTAACGACCTCGCTCCGCTGCCATTTTACCCTCACCCTCTCCCTCGCCCTCCCTCGCCCTCATTCAACTCCGCTCTCACCAACGCTCACCCACCCTCACTCATGCTCGCCCTCGCTCACACTCAAGCCCGCTGGGTCGTCACCGTGCGCCCCGGCCCTGAAATATTCCATTGTTCTCCCCCCCACCCCATGCTCTCTACGCTGTATCCATCTTCTGTAGAATTACCCACCCTTCCTTCTCCGGGTCCCATGCTGCGCTCTTCACATTCCTCTGTCTCTACTCTCTCTACGGTCCTTCTACACAGTACGCGGTCAGATATTGAGATTGAATGGCTGATGACAGTGCAGGGCGCATTTGTCTTCCACCCTGGAGATTCTGTCAGGCTCTCTCTCTGCTGCCTGGACATGCATTCCCTGGTGGCCAGGCCCGGTCTTGCGCCCCTGCCCAGCGGGGGTTTCTCCCTTCTCCAGTGGCAGGGGCATGGTGTCGTGTCACGGTGAAGGAAATAAATTTTCCTACATATCCAGCCCTCGCGGCGTGGCGATGGGGTGACGTGGACATCACCCCAGTGCGGGTGAATTCTTGGTCATGCTACAGTTGCCTCCTGGCCAGTAGTAAGATGCTGAATCAACGACAATGAAGGCCTTCAATGGAGATTGGGATCCAGCCCTGGTGTCCTGGCGCTAGAATTAAGCAAAGAGACAGGGATGATGTCAAATTGCGATGTGATGTCAGAGTCACCCATCTTTACACTGCATGTCTCAGCTAGATGAATCAAGGGATTTGTCTACTGGAGATACCTGCTTGTGCGACAGGGAAGTGTATTGAAGCATCAGGGAACACATGATAAGCAGGACAAGAACATCATCAGTTGATACTACAGTCTAGAAAATAAGAAGTGAGAAAGGCTGTGATTCACCTGCACTCACTGCAGAATATGACAGCTGGTATCACAAGATAACAGACAATGCATAATTTCTCTCTTAATTTATCAGGATTTGGTCAGCTTTTGACATGCAGAATATGAGACTTGTTCAATGTGATAAAGAAGTAAAAAGACTGCTAGACTGACTGTGTGACTGTGTCTGAGACTAGGACCAGATTTTTTGATAGTCTCATTACCAATTCAACTGATTCCATTACATGGTTTTAACATTAGATAGTAGTCTCATACTGTTTTAGTGAGACTTACTGTCTACTCTTATCACATTTTTCAAATGAGATCATGATTTTCACTTCTCAATTTAAATTATTTTTATTGCTTTAAATGACTTTAAATCTCATTTAAGCATTATCAAAAAGTGTTACTTTTTAAAAAATTAAAAATAGTCTAAAAAAGAACTTAAAATGTCTAAAAATAGTAACTTTATACTAAGAATGAAATTAAATGAAATTAAATGAGATTACTTTCTTATTTTTTTCAAGTTATGATTTTATTTTAAGATCTGATATATAGTCACTTTACATGTTTTTTTAATAGTCAGTCTCAGCAGAATTCATGCCAAGAAATGTATGAGATCAGATTAAATGAGATTAAATATGAAATTCATAATCTCAGCAGTCAGTCTAAAGACTGCAAGCAGTAGCCTGATTTAATGTAAATTTTCGCCCTCTTTATAATAATATCTACACTGCTGTATAGCTAGACTGACTGCTGAGATTATGAATTTCATGTTTGATCTCATTTAATCTGATTTCATACATTTCTTAGCATGAATCCCGCTGGGACTAGCTATTAAAAAAACATGTAAAGTGACTATATATCAGATCTTAAAATGAAATCATGACTTGAAAAAAATGAGAAAGTAATCTCATTTAATCTCATTTAGTTTCATTCTTGATATAAAGTTACTATTTTTAAATATTTTAAGATTTTTTTTAGACTATTTTTAATTTTTTAAAAAGTAATGCTTTTTGATAATACTTAAATGAGATTTAAAGTCATTTAAAGCAATAAAAATAATTTAAATTAAGAAGTGAAAATCATGATCTCATTTGAAAAATATAATAAGAGTAGACAGTAAGTCTTACTAAGACAGTATAAAACTACTATTTAATATTAAAACTATGTAATAAGATCAGTTGAATTAATAATAATACTATTAAAAAATCTAATTCTAATTTCAGACACAGTTACACAGTCAGTCTATGTATAGCTCTGCTCTCTGAGTTAAAATCTCTGTTCTTAATTTATCTTCAGATCTTTACAGGTACTTATACTGTATCTGTCTTTCAGCTTATCATCAGCTCAATCATTGATGTTATAAGTGAAATATTTGTATTATGCTAATGAACAGTTTCAGCTGAGCTATGTTAGTCAGAGTGTAAAGAAGAGTATTAATCTTACTTTACTAACAATATATTAAAACTCTCTAGAGATTACATTTAAGTACAAAGTTCAATAAATAAATGATTCTTAATTTAATTATTCATATTAATATTTCTGCACTGCTGATAGTTTCTATCTAGAATAAGTCAGCTGTGAGATCTCAGTGAGACATCAGTTTTAAAGATTGAAAAGATATTTCAGCATATTTCTTTCTCACTCTGAAGATTCAGAAAAGCTGAATTTTTCTTTCATTTCAAAACAACTTGAGTCTTCTACAACTCTTTTAAATTCACTACTTTGTTACTTCATTTCTCTATTGTATTCAGCTGACTAAATCACCGCTCTCATAATGTTTCTTCATTTCAATTCAAACATCACAGTATCAGGTATAAAATTTCAGTGAATGCTGGTTTTTTATACTCAGTAACCTGCAATTGAAAAGTGAACTGATAAGAATGAGAAGCTAATTAACAAGAAGTTATCTAAGATACTTGAAAGTTAAGTAATCAGCTCAAATGTGAAGATAACAGATATTCAGAATCAGAATCTAGATTTGCATATTAATACAGGTGATAATAATTGAAATTCACTGCATAGTCTCTTCTATGTCAATTCCGACTCATCAGATACATCGATGTTCATAGCTATAAATACACAATCCCGCGACTACAATGAAGATGATGAGAAGTAGACTAGTCACTGAGATCATGAATTTCATGTTTGATTTCATTTGATCTAGTCTCATACATTTCTTGGCATGAATCCTGCTGAGACTGACTATTAAAAAAACATGTAAAGTGACTATATATCAGATCTTAAAATGAAATCATGACTTGAAAAAAATGAGAAAGTGATCTCATTTGATCTCATTTAATCTCATTCTTGATATAAAGTTACTATTTTTAGACATTTTAAGGTTTTTTTTAGACTATTTTTAATTTTTTAAAAAGTAACACTTTTTGATAACACTCAAATGAGATTTAAAGTCATTTAAAGCAATAAAAATAATTTAAATTGAGAAGTGAAAATCATGGTCTCATTTGAAAAATGTGACAAGAGTAGACAGTAAGTCCCACTGAGACAGTATGGGACTACTATCTAATGTTAAAACCATGTAATGGGATCAGTCGAATTGGTAATGAGACTATCAAAAAATCTGGTCCTGGTCCCAGACACGGTCACACGGTCAGTCTAATGAGGAGAGCAACACCAGTTTTGACTCACAGTACAGTGGCTTCTCCAGTGACAGCAACAGTGACAGCAGTGTGATGGATACCAACTCGAGCAAAGATATGCCGGGACTGGTTTATGAATGAGGTGATGTGATGTCTGAGCCCTGAGCCCCGAGTGCTGGAGACAGCAAAGATACATCTCTTTCCCCTTGATTTCTTTGGCTTCTCATCATTCACTCCCCTCTATTCTCACGTGGATTCTTATGAATGCTAGATACACTCATCATCATTGATGACGATGATCAGGGTCTGAGCTACAATGATAGGGTCTCAATTTCTCTAGCCGCGCCAAGTACGTGCAGCCGGGAATCCAGTGTTGGAAGTGATGAAGAGCCCAACTCTGAGGGCCAGATCCCACCACCGCCAGTGTTGATTGAAGATGGCGGGGTGACAACGGAGGAGTGGCTGGTTGATAAAATCCTTGAATCAATGGTGGAGGATGATGACCGAGGGATGCGGTGGTACTTGGTGAAATGGAGAGGCTACAACTCTTCTTGGCAGCCTGAACATGATCTGATCCCTGGATGTGAGGAGTTGGTCCATGAGTTTCACACTAAATCTGGGAAGGTAGAGAGCCACAGATCCATTAAGCGGTGTGGGAGACCACCTTTGAGGAACTGCTCCAAGAAGGCGCGGTTTATATTCTAGCTACGACCTGTTACTGTATTGATTCAACTTGTTCCCATCTCATATTCGCATTGGATAAATGTCTAATGATACTCCATTGGTGCCCTTCTGTACAAATGATATGAGGCTTGCTATGTAGATATTATATTCTTTGTAGTTAAAGCTTAAAGGCTACTACATAGTTTTGATGCACCCAGCACCCTCCGATGTCTCTGTAAGTCCGAAATGTAGCAGCCACTGACAAAACGTAAAATACCCAACTTGGACACAGTTTTGCTAAGACCCTTCTCGGCGGGGCTCAAGGCTCTTTCTTTGCTGATATTAGATAGGAAACAGCGAACCAGGGAATTCATATCATTTTCGAGGCGGAGGTCTACGCTAATACATTGATGTTAAATCGGAGGTGTTGCGTGATATCTTGCGGGGAGTGCTACAAGATGCTAAGGGAATAAGCTCGAGTATTAATCAGGGCTTACAGGGGAATGTTGGTGTGATGATGGGAGTTTGATAGTAAATGGATGGAAGCTAAGAATTTGAGAGAGTGAGAAGGATGCTTGATTGATGGACATCAATTAAAGCAGTGCCGGCATATTGTGATATTATTGCGCAGTAACCCAGGGCTCGTCTTCTGTAGCACCTACTCATCGCGAGCCGAGATAACTGAGTCGCCTGGCCACTTGGGGGAATCATCATGATCCTGGCCATAGTTAACTTAGTGAAATTAATGGATTTTTTCGTCAAGGAGCTACCTTTCCAAATTTGTTCCACAACGTCGAGGCTGAAACGCGCTTCAATCTTGTATAGGACCAACATCCAAAGCATTATCTTAACCACAAATCATCTTACACGAATTTGTGCAGCTACAAATTTATTTCATTGATCTTGCACTCGCCAAAACCCCCTCGCCTTCCAGTATCACGGGCCTGTTACCGATTTTATCTTCTGCCATCAAGAGCTTCTCCAAGCCCATACACCACGACTAGCGGATCTACGTCAGCAAAATATAATTATAGTTTGGCTTCTTATTCCACTATTCGAGTTATCAGCAAACGCCTGGTCACAACGTAGCACACTGCCAAATAAGTATATAGACACCAGATTTCACATTGTGCTTTTCCCTTACTAATAACTTGCAGGCTCTTCAGGTAGCCAATCGAATATGGATAAGTACTGTTGCCGACGAGAATATTTCTGCCACACCGCACAAAACCAGGATTTCTCTTTTGCCATGACTGGGCTATATGAAAGAACTTCCTGGGGAGGAACACTTAATGAAATGATTTTCAGTGATTCTGTTGCTTGGATTGTGTTTCTTTTTGCTAGACCTATCCCTTCTCCACTTTCAACTGTATTCAAGCCTTCTGAGGATTCTCACAAGAAGATCAACTGCTCATTGCATCTCAGTCTACAAATTCTTACCCTGTCAGCTGAGCTTCATTACATGATTTTTAACCTCCTTGATATTCAAGATATGATGCATCTTGACCTTACTTATCAGTACTTCTGAATCATTTCTAAGTCAGTAATTATGAAATATTTTACCAAGTTCTTAGGTGTTTGAGCAGGGGCTTCAGTTACTTGCACTGACAAGGATAATCAATGATCATATAGAGAATTTGACAAAGATGAGCTGAGACTATTCAATTTCACAAATGAGAAACAGAGAACTATTCTGACTAAGCAGTCAAATTCTATGAACTTGCTGAAGCCTGAGTTACATTTGAGTTTCTCTGATATTTTATTGAGACATGCTCTTGAATTAGTTCAGAAATGTCATTGCTCAGTGAATCTGCTTAAGATAACTGATTCTGTATCAGCATCTTTCTATTTCACTGATAGACAGTGAGTTCTGTGTAATTTAACAACTTATCAGTTTGTCACTGTGTGAGTCATCACACTGAAGCTGAAATATATTCAAGATCTGTTCATTGATGTATTGAGGTTTGGTGAAGTGATCATTGCTCAGACTTTTTATACAACTCATAATGTTCACTACTCAGAATACTGCTTTGATCTTTAAAAGAGAACTCATTGCAAAGATATTTGAGCAGAACACACACTGAATATTGTACTGTTAAATTCTGCTCACATCAACAGTCTCTGAAAGAATGCAAGTGATAAAGTTGTGAGATGAATTGTGAGAATATATGAGACTAAATTTGAAGAAGAGTGATGTGAGAAGTTGATTTCATGAAAGTGCTGAGTGAGTCTGATGAAGGGCACTTAGACAAATTATCATGCTTCACCCATCATAGACTGAACTAGGAACTAAGATGCCTTTGCTCTTATCTAGGCTCCTATTTGCATTGTGCTTATAACACTTCACAAATATCTTACAGAGTCAATGCAGTTTTGCTGGTCCTAGAATATGTAAAGAAGAAACTGATATGACTCAACTCACTAATATTCTAATATATTTTATATAAATACACTAGATATAATTACTCTCAAGATTTGATTTCAATATCTGTAGAAGTGCTCATTCTATTGAATACTAACTATGAAACTATACTAAGCTGGGTAAAGAAAGGAACCTTTAATAGATATCCAGTTTCACTAGTGTACGCGTTGGATACCAGTGAGGGTCTTGCTTTCCCACCTTCTTTGACACGGGCGTTCTCTTCGAGCAGCGATCCCTGACTGAAGTGTGCGGATGCGTATATCCAGTCCCGCTAGCATACGTGCTACATACAAGCGAGGATTCTATATTCTGGCCTTTTGGTGCCTCTTGGGCGGCAATCACCAATCAAAGTGCTTTCCTTCGGCAACTCCCGACCCAATGGTAGCTCACATTACTACTGAAGTCCCGCCTGTTGAGCCTCCTTTACCAGGGAATTCTTGCTCTTGTGCCTGATTCATCACACTCAAGATTTGATTTTGGTGATCACATCATCATATGCCTTGATAACAGGATTATATAAATGCTTCAGGTCTTGCGGGGTGTCAACAATAATGCCTCTGTTCCTGTACAGGAAAAGAATGTCTTGTATAGCTCTGCAAAGTGATTTGACAAACTCAAACACTGGAGGAAACTCAGTCAAAATATCCTCAAGCCCATCTGCACCCATATCGGTTCGCTTGATTCTTGCGATTTTTTTATAAGTTCCAGTGTACCACTCCTTCAGCATACTGTCTTTCACCTTGTTTGAGGTTTGCGATTTTCTCATGACTTTCCGTGCACCATTTCTTTAGCATATTATCTTCTGGCCAGACACATAGCTGATATAACTTCTGCAATTGCTTTAATTTTTCTCAACCGTGACGGGCGCACTGCCAGATAAGTATGTAGAAAAACAACTCAAGATCATGCTGATAGGTATGGTCGATATTAAGCAGCACCTCAATCACCATGAACTTCATCATATCAGTCAGGTGCCGCGCACCACTTCACCCACTTCCAGCTTCTTTGACAAGATCTAGATTGATTAGCATGCCCGAGTGACCATCCGCATTGTCTGGATCAGTGATTATTATGTTGTTTTCTGAAATATCCTGATGAAGGATGTTCCCATCCCAGTAAAGAGACTGATGTGTCTTTATTGCATCGCGAAGCACCATGAGCAGCTCCAAGGGTGATTCATACTTGTAGATCGGCCGGCCAGCGGGCGATATCACAAGACAGCGGAGGGTACGGTTGTCGTACGGTACCTCGCCATTCCTGCTCCAAGTGTAGTTCCAGGAAGTGCGCCTCTTTAACAATATCTGCATGTTCGAGGATCTAATTATCAAATATCGGGGCCTCCAACCAGCTGCAAATCTTCTCCAGAGCGAACAAATCATGGTGGTTGTCTGACGTATGATAATCCTTCATATCTTTGTTAATCCATCCTTTGGTCCCTCGGCTGGTCCCTAATTTAGCACCTATCTCGCGGGCTGACCCGAAGTCGATCAGGATCGGCATGCCGTCCTCGTCGACCAGGATGTTGCCTGGATGGAGGTCGTTGTGGGCCCAGCCAAGAGAGTGTAAATGGTAAATAGCTGACTTGAGGGCCTGCATGAAGGACTCCTTGTCTATGGACCCAACCTTGTTCTTCAGATAGTCGGTCAGCGTGTTGGGGTGGCGGTCAAGGACGAGGCCGGTGATACGGCCACGGCGAACTCGGCAGCCGTGATAGTAGACAATGTTGGGGTGTGGGTGTTCAGAGATCTTCTCCATGGCTTGGGCTTCTTCGAGTAGACCTTTAGGAATGAGGCTGAGGACATTATATTCTTGGAAGATATCGTATAGAGAAATGTTTGGGCGTTTGATATAGGTGTTGGGTGGAAGCGGCTCCTGAGCCTGGGTGAGCTCCATGTTACACGGGGCCCATTCTGGAAAAAGGTCATTGCCAGAGATAGGAGCGAGAGCAGATGTAAGTTGCAGAAAAGTGATGTTGTGTTTGGGAAGATTCAACTTGCCAAAGTAGGCAGTGTCATCTTCGTCAAGCACTGCAAAGGTTGTGTGTCGGAATTCACCAGTTTCGTCAACTTCCTCGTGGAAGAAGGTTAGGTCTTCCCACGCTGTGATTTGGGGGGGCATGACAACGGGAAAGCTCTCCTGGGGAGGGGTGTGGGAAATGCTTTGATTTTTTAACAACTAGCAAAAATAAGTCTCTCCTTCAATAGAATTTGGATGCCGCTGACATGTTAAAGAAGCTGTAAAAATGGGAAACTGCTAGCGGTTATCCACCGGTCCGGTGTTTATCCGACCTCTACCGAGCTGTATGGCGCTCAGCAACGCACACAAATATTGGTTAGAAGAAGCAAGCAATATCATACAGTTCTGACAGAAACTACATAAGAAACGAAAACATAATTAGAAAGGCTTCAAAAAATCAATATTCAGTTTATCCCATCCGCGCCCTTCGAACGGCCTAGCCGGTTCGACATCGAGTCAATCAGGCCACTCTACAAAGAGTTTTCTGGAATAGTCTACCACCCTAACTACATCCGCCTTCTACGATATCGAATCGGCACTTTTATTCGTTAGTTGTCCAGGGTATCTTTTTACACGTAACATTTCATCCAAGTCCAGCAAAAGGTTTAAGCAGGTGAATGCCCATCCCAAGTAGCGATGCTCTGCCCTACAAGCCAGCTTCCATCAGCCTGGAACATGTATGGAAGCGTTATCCTGCACAAATTTCCATGACCGAGGAAGCAGGAGTACATCCGCATGCACGATTCCTATTGGTTCATCCACTGTACTATTGTTGGAGGTTCAGCACGGGGAGGCATTGTAATGCATTAATTTGATAATGGTTACGGGAAAAGCTACTGCAATAGCGGCTGTAAGAAAATGATAGCGCCCGGAGCTGCCTGTCATGACCGCTAGAATAGTGCCGGTTCTTAACTAAATAAAACCCAAGAACATGGTTGTTAGGTGAAAGGGAAGGGGAAAATCAAACTTCAGCCGACAATCCTTTTCCAGCGTCGGAGTCCCCGAATCTGTGTACCAAGGCCATGCGGTATCTGCCCCAGCTGAAGCAGGTTACGCAATCACCCCTTCCCCGCGGAGAGCTTCCATCAAAGCCTCAACAGTGTGAAGCGGCTTTGAATCTTGGAAGACTCCGTGGGTGTTCTTCTTGGCCGCGTAGACATCATTACCCTTGCAAGAAATGACCCCGTCGTCTCCTACTTTAAAGGACCAACCAGTGGTGATGCGGGGCGGATCAAACCCGATGAGGTCCTTCTCATCCACCATCAAAGTGCCTTGGGGCCCGACCAGAAGCTCCATACTGGTGCTATTCCGGGAGCTGTCAAGCAGTTGTAAAGCAATCAAGTCAGCTAGGTTGTTATGGTGTAGAAAGTTGGCAAATTCCTGAAAGAATTTAGGTTCGGTGCTAGCTGCTTTAGCATCTACCTTGCCTTCGTGGAGCTCGTAAGGGACGAACATCCCGTCGGACTGCAGTCGAAAGACGTGACCGTGGACTGCCTTGTTGGCTAGCTCCGCCACGGAAACTGGCTTGGTCCAGCAGGCGGATGACCTCTCCGACAACTGGGCCTCGATCCCAAGCAGTACAGTTCCCTCGGGTGCAATGAAGTGGCTGTGAAGTAGGTGAACACCGAAGATGTCCTGGACGCTGTTGCGCACGAACAGTTCGCCCAAGGCTTTGAGTGTGGCGTCAGAGATATTTGGCTGCTCCTCAGGATGGACAAGGCTATTATGTCTAAAAGTGTAGATATTAGCGACCCGCCAGTGAAAGCTAGGAAATGGAAGACATACACAGCCCGTGACAGTTCAAGGTCTTGGATAGTTGGAGGGCGCTGCAGCCCGGCAATGGCAGGGAGAATGCTGGCAGTGGCCATGGTGACGAGCAACAAGAGTTGTATATGACAAAGAGTAGGTATTGGCGTAGCTCACTGCGAGAGCGTATGAGATAGGCGGACGGTAGGCGAGGAGTCGATGGAGCAGAACACATGCTCCGTGAGAATACTGCAGACTCCACGAGGAATTTATACTTGTCCAGATCAGCCCGAGGAGATTCTGCTGGTCCTGATGCTTCAAACCCTGCTCTGTAGAAGCTAAGGGGACCTGGATATTTTGTTCTCTTGGCTTCCTGTAATGCGTGCCGAGTCTGTTGGTTGTTGGTTTAACGAATATGCATGTGGTGCGTGTCGAGCGTCATGGTTGGTCCAGCGTTGGATCAATATGCATGGCAGTATGTGCGGGTCGTCGCTCCGCTTCCGCAGGCCGTCAAGGGTGGGCGCCAACAAGTTGTATCAATGGGAAAGACCAATGGTTGTATTTGCAGATGGGATGCTGCCCCGCACGGGCAGCCCTGTGTCCATGGCATTGCTCCTTGTCCAATTAACCAGCGCCACGTACAACCTGGTTGCTAACGACTGCATTTCTGTGTGCGACTGAAGTTAGTCTGGCGGCATTGGAATCCTTCTTTGCCTCTACCATCTGCTTTACTTGGAAGCATCGTTTATGTGGGAATCGCCACCTAAGCTTCTGCATCTTTAATATCGCTGATAACCTGGTCAAACGCGCAGAACTGCCAACAAAACAAATGTAGGGATGCCAAGTGATTGTCCGCCGAAGTTATTCTCTAAAATTCAACAACTTGAACGGAACGGCCCGGAAGGCACCACAGGGAACGCCAGCAACTCGCCTTCAGCCTTGTATACTACTCACTTTAATTGGCGAACTTCTAGAACGTCTTCTGCATGACCAAGAAAATGGATGCTATCCTTCAGCAGATCACATGTCACTCCTGACCCGAATATCTCTACCAAGAAGACTTGCTTCAGTGTTCTGTTGCGCTGGAAGCAGGGTATCAATATTAAGATCTTCAGAGCCGTCCACTGGGACAATGAGTATCACTTTGGTCGAACTGTCAGGAGTGGAGGCGCTCCCATGGCAACACAGTCGTGGTTTTTGTATTGTTAGTGTTATGGTGACGACTACAGAAGACCTGACCTCGCTAAGTGCCCCACCCGACCTCGTTATATAAGCAGACCTTACAGATAACCTCGCAAAATACAGAAATACAGCTAGTAATAGTGTGGTATTATAATTCTCGCATAATTCTCTCATAATTCTCTCATAATTCTCAAGAATTTTATAAAATTACAAGTAAAATTTAATCAATTTCTAATGAATTCTCAATTGATTTTAAAGAGCTGTCATACTCTGTCATGGTATTTTAAGCTAGAGAGGTTGGGTCCTTGCCAGGAAGCAGAAAACTTGACCTCGCTAAGTGCGCCACTTGACCTCATTATGTAAGCTGACCTCACAAATGTGGCCTGTGCCACTACCTGACCTTGCTCAATACATCTTTTCTTGTAATTTGAAATCACTCTTTCTTTCTTAATTATTTACCATCAATTCTACAATTAATTCAAAATTAATTTAAAATCAATTTAATACTGAAATTATTCTTGAATTTAATAATAAAGTAAGTGTTTATATAATTTACACTGAATTAATTATTAACTGATTTTCAATCAATTATTAATTACTTAAATATACAGATTGAATTTATTTTATTACTATAATTAATTAATAATTAATTCAGAATGAATTCAAAATCAATTTAAAATCAATTTAATACTGAAATTATTCTTGAATTTAATAATAATACTGAATTAATTATCAACTGATTTTCAATCAATTATTAATTACTTAAATATATAGATTAAATCTATTTTTATTACTATAATTAATTCAGAATCAATTCAGAATCAATTTAAAATCAATTTAAAATTAATTATTAAATATTTTTATCTTGATATATTTTAAAATTCTGTAAAATATCTCTTTATATTCTATATGAATTTATCTGTTTATTTAATTGATTATGAATCAGCTATACATGCTTTGATTGATTGATGAGCTGAATGAATGAGTGAATTGAAAGATTGAAAGTCAATTATCAACTGATTATTACTGTATTGTGCGAGGTCAGGGTCATGATTATGTAATGAGGTCAAGTGGCGCACTTAGCGAGGTCAAGTTTTCTGTATACACGGTGCTTGCACAGGCCCTGTCTGCGAGGTCTGCTTACATAACGAGGTTGGGTGAGACGCTGCTTCCTGAGTGTTGGCATACAGTTGAACATGGTGCTAGCTCGGGCCGGAAAAACAGCTGGGCGTGGTTCCAACCACACTTCAGTTTTGACCCATGGCAGTACCAACATATCACACATCATCTCTACACCTCTCATAATATTGATTTTTCATATTTTTCAAAGGTTTTAGCTCATTCTAGCTCATTCTAATACTAATTCTAATACTAATTCTAATTTTCAACTCTTTAATCTATCTCTACACTAAGAAACTGGGTGTTGGGTACGGTCGTACTGTATTAGTAATATGTGTGTAATATGGGTGAGGTGTGTAGTGAATGTATATTTTAGAGGGAGCACTGAAGTTGAACGTTGTGTCCAGAAAAGTGGGTCAAAAGTTGGCGCACCACGATCAACTTCTTTGGCACCATTGTATTAGTCTTCGGCTTAGTTAGCCACCGCTCCTGTGTTAGCTAGAACACACGCGTATGCGATGCTATTTCAAGTAGGAGCTGCGATTTAGCTGAAGATATTCTGGCCCTTAAGGAGACTTTGGAGCGGGCTGCTTTTGCTCGTTCTTGTCATTATATGTCACCGGCAGCCATGGTCGAGATACCTTGGGCTCAACAGGCCGTTAACCGTTTTTTCGAGGGGCGCAAGTACCCCACCCGGTTCCAGTGCGACCGAATTGCGCAATCCATCTCGGGCGCTTCGGATGCTCGCAACGTCGACACGCCAGGCTCGATGAGCTACACTGTTATCTGCACAGGTCGACACGCAGGAAAGCAGGACCTTGTTGTATCCTTCCGAGAGCCAGAAGCCCACCTCGATCAGGGCATGAGCGAGTTGGCACAGGCCGTCCATGGCCACCTCGTGCCTGAGACATCTCATTACGGCATGGTCGATGGTGCTGATCCGCCCCTCACCCTCTACACCATGCCGTACTTGCCCGGAATCTCATGCCTTGACGCTCTTACTTGTCAAGTGGCGATGGATGGGCTGGCGGAGGTCAGGCATGTTTGCTTTGTTCAGCACCTTGCTAGGTAAGGAGGACAGCGTATTGCCTGTTTCCTAGGCTGGGGCATAGGTACCTGATTGCTCATACTTGTTAGGTACTTCGCTCGATGTTGGTCTAAGCCGCAGCATACGACCATAGAAGCACGAGCAGAGACTCTCGACAGAATTCAACGCAGACTTGATCTACTATCACTATCGTCATCGTCCGGTCTTGGGACCTCGGCAGTGTTGGAATTAAAACGAAGCCTTCCTGCTTTCTTTGCGCAGGAGTATCCACAAGTTCTTACGCACGGCGACCTCTCTAGGACAAACATCTTGGTTGACGAGGACACCTACGAAATCACAGGTATCGTCGACTGGTCTCTTGCCGCGATACTGCCCTTCGGTATGGACTTGGACTGCCTGTTTTTGACGACGGGATATATGGACCGCGATGGATGGCACGACTATGCATGCCGTTCGCGGTTGCATGAAGCTTTCTGGGCCGAGTTCTGGTCTGCCTCTGGAGTTAGGGATAATGCGCGGCGAGACCAAGTTCGCGATATGGCTGAGCGGGCGGCCAGGATCGGTGCCATTCTACGCTATGCTTTCCAGCGTAACGCGGATGGCTCACCCTCCGAGGCGTTGGTATCCGACGGAGCGTCGACCTGGAGGTATATGCAAGCGTGGCTTGCCGCTTAGCTATATTTTCGAGCCAGGCTCTAGGGGATGCTACTTTTATCCCATAGTGGAAATCCAGTATAGATATAGGGAGACGGGCCAGGCGTGCACGTCTGGCGAGTGACCCCTAAACTGTGGAAAGCGGCGGCGATGGCATGTAGATCTCCAGAGATTGCTATAGAGAGGAGTGGGCTGAGCTCAAGCGCAGAATGAGTCGGCTGTCACAAGACTGAAATTCTAACATCTATACCGAAACTCTACTGATTCTGTAGTGTCACCAATGAGCGCCTTTCCAATCTTCCCAGCCATGCTCCAGGATATTGTAGCTTTATCCCCAAGTTCATCAGGCAAATGTTGGATATAAGTAAACGAAAAATAATAATATTATCAAAAATCAACTATCTAACTTAGCAAATCAGCAGGACATTACTTTAACCCTGAGAGCACACTAAATAGATTTATCACTAGTGAGGTTTTCAAGTTCAAATTGAGCGATTGTGTCATCATATGCCTTAATAATAGAATCATATAAGCAGTCTGAGTCTTGAGGAGTGCCAACAATAAGATCTTTGTCATTGTAAGGAAAGAGTATGTCTCATAGAGCTCTGCAAAGTGATAAAACATCACAGAACTTTGAAGAGAACTCTCTCAAAATGAACCTGAATCTCATATTTTCAGCTTTGCTTATATGGCTAAGCTTGATGTTTGCAATATTTTCATAGTTATCAGTATATCAGACATGAAGTTTACTATTCTTAGAATAGTTATTCTTTTCTCAGTTATGACAGATGCACTGCCAGATAAGCATGTAGAAAAACAACTCAAGATTATACTGATAAATATAATTAATATTGAGCAGTATCTTGATTATCATGAACTCTATTATATCAGTCTGATACTGTGTGTCACTTTACTCACTCTCAACTTCTTTAGCAAGATCTAGATTGATTAACATACTTAAGTGATTATTCACATTATCTGAATCAGTGATTATTATATTGTTTTCTGAAATATTCTGATAAAGAATATTCTTATTCAGATAAAGAGACTGATATGTCTTTATTATATTACAAAGTATTATAAGCAGCTTTAAGAATGATTTATACTGATAGATTAGTCAGTCAGCAGATAATATTATAAAACAGTGAAGAATATAGTTATTATACAGTTTCTTATCATTTCTATTAAAGAGACTCAGCTTGTATACTAACTGAATAGAGAAAGCTAGTTCATTCTTCTACTGAGTATCTCTCAACAGTTTATTAATAAAACATGATTATTTAAATACTTACATCTTCTTATTCAGAGATCTGTGTTTTCTGAAAGATAATTTTTAACAGATATGTAATGTGACGGAACCGAAGCAGTGACTAGTCAGCAGTGTTATGTAGAGATAGTTGTTTAAGAAGTTATATAAGTAAGCTTAACTATCTTGCTTAAATAGTGAGCTCATAGACTACAGAGTTATTATAAGAATATTACAGATGTGATACTTAGTATACTAAGAAGATTGTATAAGATATACAGTAACTCTTATATATATTTCAGTAGAAGAAAAATGAATCACTGCTTCTTTAATAAGAAGTCAGTATCTAGCTATTCTATATAGACAATGAGTGAATACTCTTCTCTTATTTCATGAGTGAGAATAGCTGAAGTAATACCTCAGCAGTGTCTTATTACTAAGAAAGAGTAATCTGCTAATCTTATATAGAAGTGAGATTCTTATATTTATTAATTGAATCTTTCTATAATATATCTGAATGATGTTATAGAGTAGTTGAAAACTGATTCAGATGAGATGAAATTATTCATATAAAAGTAATAAGTTGTGTGAAACTGCAGTAAAGTCTTAATATAGTTAGAAGTATGATAATATTCTTCTCTTTAAGAGTATAGTCTCTATATTCTCAAGATTACTGAATTAGAAATTATCTTTATTGTATAGCAACAGTTGTTAACTGATTAACAGTGCATATACTATATATGATATAAAGAAATAGATGAGTTTTTCTACTGACTGTGTAGATCTTTCTTTTCTTATCTTCATTCAAATTAAATATGTAATAAGTGAGTTTCTTATATATTAATTTGAAATGTGAAAAATATAGTTAATAAGTGACTTACAGATCTCTCAATATATTCTGTTCTATATATGAAATTTTCTGCAAAAGTGATGTGTTTTTAGAGACAAAGCTAACAGTAGTGACAGGATTTTTTGAAAAGATCTCTTCTCTCTGTGAAACATTTTTCTTTTCTTCTTCTCAATTATAACAGTAAGTGTATAAGAGTATCATTCTTGAAGAATAATAAAGAGCTTATTCTGACATTTTCTAGTGAGTAATAAATATCTTTGTGATGTGACTGCGGCCTCTGTGACTGTTAAGAAAGCCAGATTGAAGGCAGAGATGATGATGTTGACAGATTATAAAAGTACTGCTTTTATTATCACATCTTCTTCTACTTCTCTTGCAGCTGTGATGATAGTTACTGTATCTTGTAGTGAGATGTCATCTCTTCTACTAGCTAGTGTGTCTGTGCCTGGTCTGTTTTCTGCTCTCTTCATCACTGTTGCAACATCACCTCTCTTCTCAGTTAATACAGTGATGTATGACCCTGTGTGATCATTCAGAGAGAAACTCAGAAAGAGCTTAATTTCAAGAACAGTGACTCTGAGAAGCTTAATCTGTAGTTTCTCTTTCATAGTATATCTGAGCTCTGCTCAGAATACTGCTGAGTTGAGTCTGCAGAATCTTATAATTTCTTCATCTTCTCTCTATGAAGAGGCTTCAGTGTAGTCTCTGACTGACACTGCTACTTATCTGCACTGTGTTAAGCAGCTAAAGAAAGAGGGAATTTTATATATCTGCTTCTTCTCTCACTTCTGTTATTTCTGTTATATCTGCAACAATAACTCCTGTCTCTCTGTAAGTATTATCTCACAGAAAGACATTGTGTCAGCTCTGATAAGAAGTCTAGATATTCAAGCAGTACAGAGTAAGAGTCTTGAAGCTTCAAGTATTAACAGATTCTATCAAGACTGAGAAGATCTCTCTTACTCATCTGTAAAAAGAGATGAAAGTGTGAATCTCTGAGATGAAAAAACATCTCAGAATGACTGATCTTAAGAAGAGATTAGTCAGTATCATCTTTGAAAATACTGTGAAGATCAATCACTGATTGAAGAGAATCTCACTTCAGTTGAAGCAGATGACTGAGATGTTTTATAAGTTAATAAGTTAATACTTTCAGCATCTCTTATGCTTTTCTGCAGCATGCTTCTCTGCAGCACTGTAGTACTAACTTCTCAACAGATAAAGATATCAGTGTCAGAGACTTCAATAGTGAAGAATGAGTTTGATGAAGATGTAGTTATTAATAAGTAGACTCTGAGATTCTCTCTTTTTACTTTTTCAGTGAGCTGCAGTCTTACTAGAATAGCAGCAGTCTGCAGATCAATAATATTAATCTTTTTTATTAATTTTAAATATTTCTTTTCTCTAACTATTTCAGGAATTTTATACTTGTATAGTCTTATTAAACTTCTAAAAAATCCTTTGAGAGAAAATAGAAGAAGAGTGCTACAGAGTCTATAAGACACTGACTCATCATTATGAGATTATCTCTAAAAAATTCTTTGAGAAAAATAAGAAGTCTTAAGCAGTATTTCTTACTTAATGTCTCTAGTGTGTAACAGAGCAGTCTCTACTAGCTGTCTCATAGCTTACAATCTCTTTCTCAGTATTTTTCAAATGCTCAAGCAGTTCTCATGAATTCTCTGATAATGAATAATTTTCTTATTTAATAAGATATTAAAGCTTACTGTAATATATTTACTTATTCAATATTTTCTTTATAAGATATTCAGTATCACTCTCAATCTCAATGTCATCTGACTGAGATAGCTTTATTTCAGAGTATTGCTTATAGAGCTTTAAATAGAAAATGTGAAAAACAGAATGAATTGATTTCAATTCTATGAATAATTTTAACTTATATATCTGCTTACTTATTACTCTTGTTACTGAGAAAGATTCTAGTCATCACTCACTGAGCTTCTTACACAGTCTTATTATCTTGATATTCTTTGCTGAAAGTAGTACTTAATTCTCTATCAAGAACTTCATTGAAAGATGTTTTCAATTATAGTATTTCATCTGTCACTTCTGAATATGATGAATACTTTTCATCATCTTCTCATGAATTTTATTCAAAAGTTTCAATCTCACTTTTATTTCTGATACTGAGAGATACTCTGTTCTCTGTATCTGTTTAATATTCTGACTGTCTATTTCTCTTTTTAAAATATCATCTGTGATATCACTGAGTAATAAAGAATTATATTCATAATAAGTATAGAAAGAAGATATCTTTAAGATTATATTCTTTACATTGTTATATACAAATTCAGTGATTAGAAGATGTTTAAGTCAATTATTTTAATAATATAAATAGAATACTCAAAGATGCTATTCTAGTGTCTGATTCTGGTGTTCAGTCTGATCATCTGTCTGCAGATGAAATATGATACTGAGAAGATATCTTATTATAAGATGATAGTAAAAAGTGAATCAGTATTTACTAATGAAGAGAAATTCTCAATCTGTTATCAATAATTTCAGAGCATCATAATCATAAATAATAATATTTAAAAACAGATCAGTCAATTCAGAGGCTTTAATCTTTTTGTGAGAAGAGATATATCTAATCATCTTTATAAAGTAATTAACAATGACTAAAATTGAGTCATATTCTTTGACTCTTGTTAACTTCAGCAGGTCAACTATGAAATTCATTGATAGATTCTGCTATAAGCTTTTTAAAACAGGCAGTGATATTAACTCACTGTATTACTTATATCATGAGATCTTTATCTTTTGATAGATATTATAAGTTTTAATATACTCTTTGATATCTGTCTGAAGCTTGTCTTAAATATATTTATATTCTAGAAGCTTCTTAATCTTCTCTAACTCAAAGTGCTCTGCATGAGAATTATTATAATAAATTCTTAATAACTT